ACAAAATAAATTCTTATAAAATGTACAAAATATTTTTAGTTTAACACATTATTACAGTTTTCTAAAAAGGCAACTATGGGGATGTACCCCGTGTCACTTTGTACTTTTGTGGTACTAAATTGCACTTAAAATTAAGACATCACCTGCGCTATGTTTAACTGACTCTTAAATTTTGTACTCTAAAGCGAATGTTTACAGTTTAAAACAAGGAGTCCTTCACATCTAGAGTTGGCCAATATCAAAACCCAGGGACCAATTATGGTTGAGTAAAAATACATTTTCAGATTAACTTCCAGCTTTCTCAAATATCTTTGAATCTCAAATGCATTTCAAAGGATCTATTTTTGATCCATATTGTAAAGCATCTTATCATTTTGTGATTCACAAAGACAACAAACAAAACTCCTGCAGTAAAAAACAGGCTTTAATGAAGGGGCAGACAAGACTATAATTTGGTTGCAGGAATGATTTAAATCGAGGATTTAAAAAGAAGCCCTAACAGTTCAAGGTAGAATAGATAGAAGGAGGGGGAAAAAAAGCATTTTCTTCTCAAACTGAATGACTTGGTCCACATTCTATGCATAAAGCACAGAGCAGATTACCTGCTTAAAGCCTTTTACATTCTCATTGTCAAATTGTAGCTTAAGTTAGAAGATAAAAGTGCTATAAGTAAACAGTACTCTGATAGAAAGATAATTCATCTAATAAAAACAGCCCAATTTCCATTCACTTACTATATTACATATACAATCTGACTCAGGTAACTTTCAAAAATAGATTTTCTCCGAAACACAAACAGCTTGCATTTTAAAGAAGTTACACTAACATTTATGCATTTTGGCACACACCACACATAGGAGCAGAAAACAGCATTTGAAGCAATGTAAAATAATGATACTTGAACTGATAAGCAGATAATCTGAAAACAAAACTATAGGACAGCAGTTATGAACGGGGTTCATAGCCTGTAATACAGGAGGGTCAGGAGGGTTTACAACCAAATGACCCTTTAAATAGTTTCCCATATTTATCAGCTTACAATCTTAAAATTTCTAATTAAAAATTGAGCAAAAAAAAGAAGAGGATAGAGATAGACGAAGATGAAAGACACCACCATCCAGGGATAATAATTCATTAAAATCAATGCTGTCTCACTTGTAATAAAGTAATGAATACAGATAAAAGATAGCGATTATAAAGTTTATGGGGTCTAAGGGTAATAGCAATTTCATAAAACCTTTCTTTAATAAAAGAATGGCAAGAGTGTAAATATTTTCCAATGAACAACCACTAGAAGGACTCATCACACAAATGCTTTGCCCTCAGACTTATCACACCCTGAGCAACTCACATTAAACTTAAATAATGTTAATGATACATGAACCTTACTAAAGCCATTAACAGATCAGGTAATAATACACTCGAATCAATCTTAATACATAATAAACAATCACAAAAAAATAAAAATAAAATAACTAATGGCAATTGAAATCCATCAACAAGAGATAGTCTTCCATTGTTATGTTGGCACTCTGGTAACAAAGTAAAGAAAAAAGTTTGAAAATTCTATCTTTCTGCCCTGATTAAGATATTTTATAATAAAAACCAAAAAATATGACGAGTTGGTGCTTGTACATAAAGCAAATTGACTCTCAGTGGACATACAAAAATTCAATTCAATACCAATGACCAATGTCAAATGTAACTAATAAGTACTTGATATTCTTTAAAGTTTTCCTACTGGTAACACTGAATATTTAGATATACTTAGATGATTAGAAAAATCTCAAATTTATTGGCGGTGCTGAGTAGAAGCATTAGGATTGAAGTTGAGTAAAAGCTGGGCCTGTTGTTGGGATAGTTGGAATGGAACCATGTCTTCTGTTCCAGCTTGCAGGTTCATCTAAAAAGAACAGGATTTAATTATTTGTTAAAAGAAAATCAGTTTTCATGTAGAGAAAAAAAACTTAACAAACAAAAAACAGTCTATACAGAAATAGATTTACGTCCTTACCTGCTGAGGATCTACAACCACAGGGGGAGCAACAGCAAGTGGAGAGTGAACAAGAGAATGGTGATGTGGAGTAACAAAGAGTTCTGATGAGGCAGGTACTGGAATTGGTAGTGAAGTAGGAGCTAAAGCTTGGTGTGTTACAGTGGAGCCAACAGCATTGCTTGCCACTGTGTACGGGAGCGACACCTATGTACATGAAAAATATTAGCATATCTAATGATGGGCTTAGTAGCTTTGGTAAGTAAAAATTGTTGAAATGAGCAACTTACATTGAGCAGAGATGCAGGAACAATACCATAACGAGCCATTAATAATTGATCAGAAACAAGGCGAAGTTCCTGCTGTTGTTGCAGTATCATCTGTTGAAGTTCCTCATGTTTTCTTTGAAGTTGTTCTTGGTATTGGGTCTGAGCTGGACTCATCATTACAGGCTGAGGTAACAACTGGAAAGGACACAAAAGAGAGGAGAGTTTGTAGTAATAGGAGGTGACAGTTCATAAATTGCTGCCAAAATCAAACAGTTGAAAGCAATTGTATAGAAGAAATACATTTACTTCAGCAGATGTAGAAACTGTTGCAGTAGGAGCGGTGAATCCTCCAGCTATAACAGGCTGTACAGGAATAGCAGCCATAAACTGCTGAGGATGTGGTGCTGGTGGTTCTGCTGATGGGAGATTAGCAACAGCTTGTATTCCAGGCATTGCTTGAATGGCAACATTTGGTGCAGCAGGCATTTGTGTGCACATCAACTTAGTGGGTGGCTCTACTGATTGCTGAATTCCAGAGGATGTACTTGGCTGGGGTACCGAATGATAACGCTGCTGAAAACATTCAGTAAGAAAAATAAATGTCCAAAACCATATGCATGGTAAGGACTTTTTTTTTTTTGAGACAACATGTATAGGTACAAGTTAGCTTTTCCTTGTGACAGTGAGAACTAACTTTTTTGAATCATAAGTAATAGGCACATTGAAGACTCACATTGCTTTGAGCACGCATTGTGGAGGGACCATGAGAGCTGGTCCGAAGATGTGACTGTCTTGAAGTGACGGAGTCAGTTGACATAGAATTAGAGTCAGAGTCCGGTCCAGTACCATGAAAAGACATTTGACCTCTCCCTCTAGCACCTGTGGAAACGATTGAGCCTGATGGTGCAGGTGAGCTTACATTTGTCAATGCCAAGCGAGAAGCTTTACCAACTGGGTAAAAATAAAATTCATATTTTGTTTCAATACAGAGGATAAAAAGATCATCATGTTATGTATTTATCAGGGTTCATTTACCAGATGATTTGGAGGACCACGGCGATGAGGCAGCCACTGTTTGAAGTTTGTGGTCAGAATCTAAAGGTAGAGTTTCATTGTCATCTTGACTACCATTGTGATCCACAGATGCATCTCCATCACCTCTTGATTGCCTCAATGCATTCATATAGCTAAATAGGTAAAGACCAAAGTTCAAAAATAAATTAAGATATTTAAATAGATGTTTTCTTTTTTTTTAAATTAAGACAGATTGTATGTAATAATATGATTATGAATCAATCACACACCAGTACATACTTTATAACTCTATGAGTGCAAACAATAAACTCAGGTTTTGAGTTCCATTGATGATATGTAATGTAAAATCTAGTTTGAAGCCAAATCCACTGCTGACCTTTTGTTAAAAAACGATAATAGCACGAGGTACCTTCACCTTTCTGCATTACTGTAATAAAATCAAATTAAAATAATTGCAATTCTGTGAAAAAGGTTAAAGAATTAACAAGTGTAACGTGCAAAGTTACTCTTTAAAAACAAAAACTGGATGCTAGCTCAGCAGTGCCGGATAGAGGGGCGTGGTCCTAGCATTGAATTTCTTTAGGGCGCCAAGGAATATCATTCCTTTCAAAACCAAAACCATAGGTACATAAATATCACAGTTTATTGCATTCAATGACTGACACAGTAGCACTTGGCACAAAAGTAGACAATAACCTCATCATGATACCGGCCACATGGCCAAAAAGCACACGCTCCACCGCGGGAGACTAAAACGTACATACAAAACAGTACC